CCCATGGCACTCACCGCCCGCTGTCCCCTCCAGGAGGTGGCCATGCGCAAGCTGGTCCGCACCGTGATCATCAACGACGAGGACGAGGATGATGAGGACGACGAGGTCAGCATCCACCACCGCCATCACCACGTGAGTGCCGCGCGGCCGGGGAGGTCGTTGGGCGCCGCGGTTGGGTTTGGTTGTAGGGAGGCCGGGTCCGAGCTCCCGGTTGGCGCTTCTGGCTCGTTCCCACTGCTTGGATTGGGGTGGGGGGCAACTTGGCACTGCATGGGATCAAACCCGATGGGAGGAAACCACCGCATGGAGGGACACAGTAGACTTGGAGAAAGCTTCTGGAGAAGATGCCTGCTTGCCAAGAGGGCTCTGCAGACCTTGCTGGGGACACATGGGGCGAGTCGAAAGCATCTCCCACCCAGAAGGACCTTGAGTGTGACGAGACAGAGGAGCTGGGAGGAAGCCAGGCTGGTAGCCGTGAAGCCTACCTGGAGCTGGAGGACAAGGTGCTCCCCGACGGAACGTGCTCCCCGACGGAAGGTGCTCCCCAACGGCAGCTGCTCCCACCTCTCTGCTTCGCCAGGCCAGAAACATTCCTCATCCACAGAAACATCCCCAGCTTCAGCAATGGGAGCTCCCACTAGCTCATCCTGGCGGCAGACTGGTGTCTCCTGCAGGATTTGTGCTCTCTGCACATCCATACCTGGATGGTGCTGAAAAATCTGCCGGCTCCCTGTGGAGGAGCTGGATGCAGGAGCAGGAGCTGGATGCGAGGCAGATGATCCGCTTTCCTTCTAATCGCTCTGGATGTGAAGCTCCGAGAGGGATATTGATTATCCTGGGAGGAACAAGCCAGGCTCCTGCAGGCCAGCACTGCCCATTTGTCAGGGGGCTGAATCCTTTCCAAGAGCGACTTTCCCATCAGGAAGCAGGAAGCTGACATGAGTCGGACCCTTCAGAGGAACTAGGGAAGAGGATGCCAAAGATGAGCACAGATAAAACCTCGGCAGAGCAATGGGAAGAGCTCAACCAGGCCACACGTGGTGCTGCCAGGTCCCCAGGGAAGGATGCATAAACCAGAAGATGCTTGGGCAGGTGCTCAGGACCCTTTTTGTGTGTTTTTCCCCCCATTTAGGCCAGCTGCAGTGGCTCTGCTGACCCTGGCGAGTACAACCTGCGCTCGCGCACGGTGGTCTGCGGCACCTGCGGCCAGCCGGCCGAGAAGTCCGGGAGCCAAAATGCCGGCATCGGCACCATGTCCTCAGGATCATCCACCTCCAGCGTGACCGTCACCCGCAGCTACCGCAGCGTTGGCGGCTCCGGAGGCGTCAGCAGCAGCCTGGGGGACAACCTGGGCACCAGGTCCTACATCCTGGGGAGCTCCAGCCCCCGTAGGCAGGTTAGTGCTGTTCCCAGACCCCGCAGAGCCCAGGGGAAAGACTCTTCTTGCTCTGCTTGGTCATTATTCTCCTGGTCTTGCATCATCCTTGCTCCACCAGCCAACATTGTGGGTGTCTCTTCACTCTCCCATTGCCTCCTCTTGTCTTCTTGCCCTGGGCATCTGCTGGCATGCACAAGGTCTACAAGGTCTACAGGGTCTGTAAGGTCTACAGGGTCTTTACGATCTAAAAGTTCTACAGGGTCTATAAGATCTGTAAGGTCTACAGGGTCTACAAGTTCTACAGGGTCTATAAGATCTATAAGGTCTGCAGGGTCTATAAGATCTACAAGGTCTACAGGGTCTATAAGATCTGTAAGGTCTACAGGGTCTACAAGGTCTACAGGGTCTGTAAGATCTACAAGGTCTATAGAGTCTATGAGATCTATGAGATCTACAAGGTCTATGAGATCTGTAAGGTCTACAGGGTCTACAGGGTCTACAAGGTCTATAAGGTCTACAGGGTCTACAAGATCTACAAGGTCTACAGAGTCTATGAGATCTAGGAGATCTGCAGGGTCTGTAAGATCTGTAAGGTCTACAGGGTCTACAAGGTCCACAGGGTCTATAAGATCTATAAGATGCACAGGGTCTACAAGATCTGCATGGTCTATAAGGTCTAGAATGAGTTTTTTTATATAATAAGGTCTATAATGAATGCTCTTCTTGTCCGTATTATCACTCTCAATCATTACCACTGGTTCTCCTGACATCAACACTATAAATACCCTGGAACTTGGCGCAGTTGGGGCCAGCAGGATGGGAGCCAGGGCCGCACGCGGTCCCTGCGCGCGGGGCCGGCGCACGGGGCACGGGGCTGCCGAGAGCGCGGCGGGAGCAAGCGGGTACTAACGCTCCCTTTTCCCCCTTCTTTTCCTTCTCTTTCCTTCCAGGCTCAGGCTCCGCAAAACTGCAGTATCATGTAACTCCATGGCGCCATTCCCATATTTCCTGGCCATCTTGAGCTAGTTTTTCCCAAAGCAACAAATTTCTTTTTTTTTTTTTCCATAAAAAAGGGGTCTAAAACCAAGGTTGGGGTTTTTTTGTTTGTTTTCTATAGCAGGAATTTTATATATATATATATATAAAACGCTAAACGATGCTTTTTTTTTTGTAAAGAAAAAATTCTATTTCTAAAAAGAAACCAAAAAAAAGAAAGCTTTTCAGCTTAAGCTTTTTTTAAAAAAACTTCAGCCAAAGACACCGAGGAATTGTTTACTGAGCAGCAATGCAGCAGCAGAGCGTAGTTTAATAGCTCCATAGATTATATCTTTTTTGCCAAAGCTTTTTATATAGGACAAGGAGAAGTAAAGCCATCCTCAGCAGTGCCGGGGCAGACCTAGAGCGTCCCCATGGGGCTCAATGTCTCAAAGAGAGCAAAGCACCTTTGCAACCTTTTTTATTAAACCTTTTTTTTTTTTTTCCTGGATTTGGACCCAAATTCCTCTTTTTTTCTGTATGTTTTTTAATATTTTTCCCCCTTTCCCCGCCTCTGCTTTTTTTTTTTTTTTTTTTTTGGGTTTTTTTTTTTTTTTTTTTGGGTTTGTTTTGTTTTTCAAACCACCAAGTTGTGCCTTAAGGAAGGTGCCAAGAGGCTACGGGTGTTGCCGGACACCGCGGTCCCACAAGCCCCCGACGAGTTTAATGCAGGACAGGTTCACTCAGAAAGAGCATTTTGGGGCCAAACAAAGCGGTTTGGGGGCCAGCTCCCCCTGCCAAGGCCGATGCAGCTCTCGACGGAGATTTTTGCCTTTCTTTTCCCCACTTATTTGAGGGGAGAGTTCCCAACGTGTCCCCGGGCACCTCGGGCTGCCGGCACCCGCGGCCCCGCGCCGAAGCATCGCCGTGACCCGAGCTCGCGCATCGCTCCGCGCTCGCAAGCTTCTGTACCCCCAAATCAATACACCCGAACCTCCCCAGCCCGTGTGCTGTCGTGCTTGGTGTCACCCCTGCGCCTGGGGAGGGAACGCGGGCGCCCAAATCCGGCAGCGCCACGAGGGGATGGTTTTTGGGGGGAAATCGGTGACTTTCTGCCCCGCGGGAGGGCTGGGGGGCCCCGTGCCAGGCGGTGCCGGCGGG